CCAAACCTTAACCCTAAACCCTATACCCTAAACCCTAAAACCTAAAACCTAAACCCTAAACCCTATACCCTAAACCCTAAACCCTAAGCCCTAAATCCTAAACCCTAAACCCTAAACCCTACAGGGGTTCAGGGCTGAGGTTCCTCTTTGAGGTTTGGGCATCGGGGCTTTTTGGGTTCATTGCCCCGGGCCTTAAAAATTAAGTTTCCGCCTTCCTCTGAAAAATTACCATAATAGGGTTCCTTAAAGGGTACTATAATCGGGTTCCCTTAAAGGATACTACAACCTTGTTCCCTTAAAAGGGTACTGCTGCTTAATACCGTAGGGCGCCCTACTTTTTTAGGGTCTGTGCTCGGGTCCCGCATGTTCTGTAGCCCGCAGACGCGAGCTGTTCCCTTCGGCGGTTTTCGGCACGTTTGTGAACAGGCTTCTCGGGAATTCAGAGACATACAAGCCATAACTCCAAAGCCTTAACTCTCTTAACCGTTAAGCCCTCAACGTTAAACCCTCACCCTAAACATGCACCTAAAACGATCCAGGGGCGTGTGCAGCTTGAAAATGGGTCAGCTGTCGAGTCATGTTTGAAGGCCATGGGCTAGAGTTAAGCCCGTGATGCTTCTTGGTATGAGGCTTAGAGATTGAGGAGGCTTTGGGCCTTCGAATCCGCTTTTGGGCTCAGGCTTGCAGGTTTAATGATATGGCTATGGGTCTTGGGGTGTGCGGCTTGGACAACGCAAGTCGCCTGTTTTGAAGGCTCCCATGCAGAGGGGAGGCGTAAATATCGGCAGGGTTTAGGGCAGAAGGTGTAGGGTCTATAGGGTTTGGGTGCTTAAGGGTTTAGGGTTTTAAGGGTGGGTGTGGTAGACCTTTATTACTAGAGGTACCTTCTCTACAGCGCCACGTGTGAATACCCATGAACCTTCGGGAAGCTTCTAGTGCTGATCTGGCGGAAACTTAAGCCGTAATCAAGGCTCCTCTATAGTTAGAATAAGGTTTTGGAGCACATACATACAGACATACAGACATACTCACCGACATACAGACATACAGACAGAAAGACAGACGGACAGACAGCTAGCGCAGGCAGGCAGGCAGGCAGTCAGACAGACAGACATATGTTTGTATATTAATACACACAGACATACATACATGTACAAATACATATACATCTACATATACATATACATATACATATACATCTACATCTACATATACATATACATGTACAATAAGGAACCCTAAGGCCTGAAGGACTAATATTGGCAAGTCTTCCAACTAAACCCTAAACCCTAAACCCTAAACCCTAAACCCTAAACCCCTAAACCCCTAAACAACTAAACCCTAAACTCCTACTGTAAGGGGCGCGGCAAGCCTCTCGGCTGCTCCCGCGCTTGCCCGGCTGCCCCTGTCGAGATCCCGGGCTTCGGTTTAGTCAGAAGGAACCCAAGCCCTGACCCTTTGTCTGTCTGGTGCTTCGGCGGGAATGGGGGAATGGATCCCTCTGATAGTCCCTTAAGGTCCCGTGAAGTACTCCCTATAACCCATTCCCCCATTCCCTACTAAGCACCAGACAGTTGTCTCTGGGGTACTCGTTTGTGGTTGAGTTTATAGAAATTGTGTAAGGTTTGGTCCGGGGTGTTGAGTGAAAGTTGTATTTTTGCGTTTTGGGGCTGGGGCTGTGGCTGGGCTGGGCAAAGCCAGGGCTGGCTGGGCTGGGCTGGGCTGCTGGGCTCGGCGAAATGGGTGAGGGAGCGGATGGACTGGCACGACTTGCACACGGTTAAGGAAAATTCGAAACCACTGAAGATGCACTTCGAAGCGAAATTCACACAATTTCTATTTATGCAGGGTTCAAGTTTTAGGGTTTAGGATTTGTAAGGTTTAGGGGCTCCAGGGTCCCAGAGTTTGGGATGCTGCAGTGTCTCCATTCCAATGTCATCCGATAAGGACAGATTTTGAAAGTTTTGGAGATGTAGCAAGAGGAGGGAAGGCCCTGATGGAAGAAAGGGCTGTTAGGGTTTCGGGTTCAGGGTTTAGGGTTTAGGGGGGTGGGTATACTTACAGTCAGGACTTCAGGTGTCTAGGCTAGAACACAAGTCCCGATGCACCTCTTTCGCCGGCGAATGGCTCCCGGATGCAGGCGTGGCAGACTGTGCCGACAAGGCCTGCAACGGAGAAGGCAAGGACCACGGCTTCCTGGGCAAGTTCCTTCCTCATCTCTCGTGAATCCCTGAATGAACATCCGATAATGTAAAACCCTAAACCCTAAACCCTAAACCAAACAAGACACTTCAACCCGTCCGTGCCTGGTTTGGAGCAGAGAAAAGCGCTGCTGCTTGTGCCAACACCTTCGGAGCACACGAGAGGGTGGAGAAGCTACGGAGATCACTGGGTTTACTTGGAGGTTCATGGGTAGTTATAAATGGGGTTATAAGTAGGGTAACTGTAATTATAACCCATATTAGGGGACTTATAACCATACTTATAACTACCCATGAACCTACTTGGGTATAACCCTATTAGGGGACTTATAACCATACTTATAACTACCCATGAACCTCCAAGTAGGGTTTATGACGGAGCTCCCTGCAGCAGCTGGCAGCCTTCGACAGCCTTTCTTCCAGCGATGTCGGTGCTGTACATCTCCACCGTATGCCAAACAGGCATCACCGTCTCTCCACACTGACTCTACACTGTACAGCCTGTCTTGCCTGGAAGTTAGATAAGGTAGCTAGGCGTGGCTCCAGCAGGAATTTCTGCCTTTCCTCCGGCTCGAGCATCAATAGGTCTTCAGCGTGCCAGATCCCTCCGAGCTGCGACCTCGACCTCGACCAGGCCAAGAACTCAGAGGTCGTCCAACTTCAACGAACTCTTCGACATCGCGTCCACGATGGAGCCATCACGGCGCACGAGGCAGAGGGTCTGCAGGCCCGGCCTTGACAAGGAGCAGAAGTCATCGGCTGCCTCTTAGATTACGTGTTCCCAACATATCCTGACGACCACCGGCAAGAGCAGAAAAAACAGGAGAATAACAAGAGCAGCAGCAGCAGCAGCTGCGGCAGGAGTAGGAGCAGGAGAAGTAGTGGGAGGAGGAGGAGGAGCAGGAGTAGGAGTAGCAGGAGGAGGAGGAGGAGGAGTACGAGTAGGAGTAGGAGTAAGAGAACAGAGTTGGAGAAGAGTAGGAGAAGTAGCAGCAGTAGTAGTCGTCGTCGTAGTCGTCGTCGTACTCGTGTCGTAGTCGTAGTCGCAGTAGTGTTAGAGAGTAGTAGTCGTTGTCGTCTCGTCGTCGTCAGTGTTCGCCGCAGCAGCGGCAGAAGCAGCAGTTGCAGTAGTTGTGGTAGTTGTAGTAGAAGTAGTAGTAGTAGTAGTAGTAGTAGTAGTCGTAGTAGTAGTAGTAGCAGTAGGAGTAGTAGCAGTAGTACTAGTACTAGCAGTAGCAGTAGCAGCAG